ATTTTCTTTACTTACTTCTTGATCTCCTTTATATTCTCTTACTTGTAGTTTAAAGATTCATAAAACTGATAATTGTTTATCTTCGACAGAAATCCAATAATGTCTTAAACTTTCTCTTTTCTAAGTATTTCAAGAACCTTCTAATAGAGAGTTTCATCTATATCCTGGATGTAAGTTAGCATCTCACAAAGATCTTCTTTCATTTAATAAACTTCTTCTTCATCTTCCCTAGAGATAAGATTTATAATACTTACTTAATTAATGATTGAATCTATTTGATTCCTTAGTCAGACTTCTCAATAAAAGCCTTTATGTGTTGGTCCCACCAGCTCTTAGTTTTATCTAACTCCTTCATATAAGAATTCTTGGAAGTATCCCAATCATTTAAAGTTGTACCTTCTACAATATTGACTAATTTTTCTAAGTCTGTGTAAGAGGATTCAGCTAGATTAGTGTTTTCATTGAGGAGGTTTAAGTATGATTAGTTTTCCTTTTCAATCCAATCGTAAACTTATTTGATTGATTGTGACAACTCCTCCCAAATTTTCTTGAGCATTTATTCGGTTTGAGAGAGCAATGATTTAAAGGCCAATCTCTATTTTTTTAACTCGGTTGTATCATTAAGGTTGGAATCATTTAATTTCTTCATAGCCATCTCTCTAAATATTTTTAAAGGAATTGTATGCTTAAAATCTACTCCATGTTCATATTGGCATTCCACGCAAATTTTTCTTTAGCATTAGCACTTATGAGGAGCTTTACATATCAGAGTAATCTGATTTTGAATATGGTGAGTGCAATTCATTATTTAAAATAATGAATTTCTATTAATCTAACTTGAAGTTATATACTGCAAAATCAATAAAAGTATCTTGTGCATTTTTGTTAAATAGAAGATAGGACTTTGTTTAGATTTTGAATTGATTGTATTAGATTTAAATGATGCTATTGAGAATTCATTTCAATATCTGCATTACTTGATTTTATAATAATATAGAATATTTTTATTTTATACGAATATTTTAATTTATACAAAAATTGAGTTCTATGATTAATTCATTAATTTTTTTTATTATCTTTAATTATTAGTAATTGTATGAAGATTCGAAAATGTCTTACTATTGTAATTAGATTTTGGGATATGTAAGATTGGAGATATTTTCTAAAAATTAGTATGACCCTTCAGATTTCTTGTTACCATTTATGATAAAAATCTGGGGTGTTAACCAATATGCTTAGAATTTATCCCTCTATTAATTGATACATGATTTGTACATACTATTGATATAATCATTTCTTTTAAGATTTTAATTGTCACTTCCAAAACTTAGTATGACCCTTCAGATAGAGGTTGTCACCTCTCAGAAGGGGTTGGGGTTGGGGTTGGGGTTGGGTTTGGGAGTTGACAGTACTAGTATGACCATCTAATTTGGCTTTTTATTATCCTGTTTTGGCATCCCATAGACGGATAGAACAATCACCACCTCCAAATTAATTACCACTACCAGAAGCTAATGTATTTCCATCAGGAGAAAAACAGACTGAATTCACACAACTACTATGGCCATCCAACCTTTTCAATTCATGGACCTTTATATTCTTCCATTTACAATTGAATAGTTAAGCACCATTCAAATTCAATCCACTGATTTCAACATTTTCAAACTCTGATTCACTCAAGTTGCATCTTACAAAATTCCCTCCAATTAAAGAAGTATTCTTGATCCTGATATTCTCAAAGGATTGGTTCCTTATATCAACCTTCATGGCCACTAATAAACTAAGTCCATTTGCTCCCGATTGAATGAATTTTACATCTATGCTTGTTAGTCGTACTAAAAATTTGATGAACTCTGTGATCCCTTTGTTATCCTTAATCCTCTTGATCAGATCTGCCCTTTCCTTTTCATATTTCTCTTGAGAATAGTCATCTTTATTATATTGATGATCCTAAATATTTCTCAAGACATTAGTTATTTTCTTTACTTACTTCTTGATCTCCTTTATATTCTCTTACTTGTAGTTTAAAGATTCATAAAACTGAT